CTTTGGTATAGAAGTGGTTGGCATGGTCATATTTGAGCCAATGATGTCCTCATCATAAGTCCACAATTTTAGATGCAATAAGGGGTCTATCCTGGATTGTGATACCACCACAGAGTATCTTAAGAAGGTGGAGAGTCAGTTCACTGGCTCTTCAAAGGCTTATGCCAGTACTTTGATTAAGAAATTGTTCAATGAGAAGTATACTGGTGGCGGTATCAGAGAGCACATACTGAAGATGAGCAACACGGCTTCGAAGCTGAAGCCAATGGATTTGGGGATCAAGGATGAGTTCCTGATTCATTTAGTTTTTGCTTCCTTGCCAAAGGAATATGAAACTTTTGTTGTTAATTACAACATGTAGCCCGATAAGTGGGATATAGAGAAGCTCATCGTAATGTGTGTTCAAGAAGAGAAGAGGCTAAAATCCTTATAGGGTGACTCTGCTAACCTTGTGAAGGACAACAAGAAGAAGAACTTCAATAAAAATGCCAAACCTCAAGGGAAAGCCCCTCAAAATGACCACCATCAGAAGAACAACAATGCTCAAGTTGAGAAGGATCAGCGTAAATGGTGCAAGAAGCATGGACATTACCAGAGGGACTGTCTAGACTTTCTGAAGAGCCTTCTGAAGAGAGGTGAGGATTTTATTACATTCATAGATAAATCCTTGTATTTAAGTTATGCAAAATCTACTTGGTGGATTGATTCGGGTGCAACTGTTCATGTTGCAAATTTATTACAGGGATTCCGTACGAGGAGAACCCTGCAAAGAGGAGAAAGAAGGATTAAAGTAGCAAATGGAATTAAAGCTGAAGTTAAAGCCATTGGAGATCTCTCTCTAGAATTAGATGATGGTTTTAAACTATAGCTTTCAGATATTCTTTATGTACCCTCTTTGCACAGAAACTTGATAAGTGTCTCACGACTAGATGATGATGGATATGATTGTCATTTTGGTAATGGTAAATGTCGGTTTGTGATTAATAATAAGTGTGTTGGTCTTGCCTTCCGACAAGACAAGCTTTATTTATTATCACTTTCTGAGAGTGTGAACGATGTGAGCACTGAGAATGAGAATGTTTCCTCATCTATGAATGCAACAAATAAGTGGAAGAGAGTGCATGATGTATCTTTGAAATTATGGCACTGTTGTTTAGGCCATATTTTGAGGGGGAGAATAGAGCGATTGATTAAGAAATCAATTATTCCGCCTTTAGAATTTTCAGATTTAGAACAATGCAAAGATTGCATAAAAGGAAAGTACGCTAAGAAAATAAAGAAAGATGCCAAACGAAGCGCGGGAATTTTAGAAATAGTTCACACATACATCTATGGTCATTTTTCTGTGAAGAGTGTGGATGGCTATGATTCATTTATAACATTCACAGATGATTATTCTCGTTTTGGCTATATTTATCCAATTAAGGAAAGATCGGAAGCATTGGATAAATTTAAGATCGTTTTGGCTGAAGTAGAAAATCAGCACAACTTAAAGATTAAGGTAGTAAGGTTCGACCTTGGGGGAGAGTACTACGACACACCCCATATGGCCAAGTTCCTGGATCCTTTGCAAGGTTCTTATAGGAAAATGGTATAGTAGCCCCGTATTCTACACCGGGCGAGCCTCAGCAGAACAGAGTAGCTGAAAGATGCAACCGTATCTTAATGGATATGGTGAGAAGCATGATAAGTTACTCTACCTTACCGATAAATTTATGGATGGAAGCGTTAAAAACCGCCATTCATATTCTTAATCGAGTGCCAAGCAAGTCGGTGCCCAAAACGCCGTATGAGTTGTGGACAGGAAAGGAACCCTCACTTAACTATTTATGTGTGTGGGTTGTCTAGCTGAGACAAAAGTTTTTAACTCAAACATAGGGAAGCTAGACTCCAAGACAGTAAATTACCATTTCATTGGCTATCCAAAAAAGTCAAAAGGTTATCGCTTCTATTATCCTGACAGACAAACGAAGTTTGTAGAAACAAGATATGTTGTCTTCTTGGAGGATAATATGATCAAGGGAAGCATGGTAGCGCGAGAAATTAGTTTTGAAGAGAAGCGGGTATACGTCCCCACTCCTATGGTTCAGGAGCCATTCTTCACGCTACCTGTTGTTGTTGTACCAACAGTGCAAGACACTATAGTAATAGCACATGTTGTTAGTTCTCCTGTTGCAACAATGAATGAACATAAGAAACCTGTCCTTCAGGATCCCCAAGAACCCGTTGTCACACATGAGGGAGAGCAACAACAGCCTCATATAGAACAAGCATCATCTAACGAGGCCCCTAGAAGGTCTCAAAGAGTCAGGAGATCAGCCATTCCTGATGACTACGGAGTTTATGAATATGAGGAATTTCAAATGGATGGTGATCCCACCTCATTTGAAGAAACCATGAGAAGCGCCCACTCATCCAAGTGGCTTGAAGCCATAGAAGATGAAATGAAATCAATGAAAACCAACCGTGTTTGGGACTTAGAAATAATTCCTAAAGGAGCCAAGACAGTAGGTTGTAAACGGGTCTACAAAACTAAACATGACTCCAAAGGGAATATAGAAAGATTCAAAGCGTGACTTATGGCGAAAGGCTTCACGCAAAGAGAAGGTATAGATTATAATGAGATATTTTCTCCAGTCTCATGTAAGGATTCTTTTAGAATCATAATGGCGCTTGTAGCACATTACGATTTAGAATTACATCAGATGGATGTAAAGACAATATTCCTAAATGGGGATCTAGAGGGAAATGTTTACATGGCACAATCGAAATGCTTTGTTGTGGAAGGAAAAGAACGCATGGGATGCCGCCTGAAGAAATATATTTATGGATTAAAACAAGCTTCAAGACAGTGGTATTTAAAGTTTGATAGTATAATAAAAAAATTTAGGTTTCAAGAAAATGTAGAGGACAATTGCGTTTATGCAAAGTTCAAGAATGGAAAATACATTTTTCTAGTCTTGTATGTGGATGACATCTTGCTCGCTAGTAGTGATGTTAATCTACTACTAGAAACAAAGAAGTTCATGTCCTCAAAGTTTGATATGAAGAATCTCGGTGAAGCTTTGTTCGTCCTATGAATAGGGATTCACTGAGATAGAGAAAAGGGGGTTTTAGGATTATCACAAAAGGCATACTTAGAAAAAGTTCTAAAGAAATACAGTATGCAAAATTATAAATTTTTACCTGCTCCCATAGTCAAGGGCGACAGATGTGAGGAATTTCAATGTCCCAAGAACCAATATGAGATCGATCAAATGAAGGCGGTTCCATATAGTTCAGCTGTCGAAAGTTTATAGTATGCTCAAGTGTGTACTCGCCCTGACTTAGCATTTGTTACCGGGTTACTTGGCAGATATCAGAGTAATCCAGAAATAAAACACTGGAAATTAGTAAATAAAGTTTTGCGTTACCTGCAGGGTATGAAGGGTCTCATACTAATGTACAGAAGATCTGATTCCCTGCACATAGAGGGGTATACAGATTTTGATTATACGGGAGATGACAGAAAGTCCACGTCAGGATACATATTCACTCTCGCAGGAGGAGCTATATCATGGAAAAGCTCAAAGCAAACCGTTACTACATCGTCCACAATGTATGCTGAGTTTGTAGCATGTTATGAGGCCATAGGGCAGGTGAATTGGCTGAAGAAATTCATGTCCGGGTTGAAAGTGGTAGACGACATAAATAAACCACTCAAGTTATACTGCGATAATAATCCAGCAGTATGTTATGCTCACAACAATGTGTCAAGTGGTGCTGTCAAACACATTGACATAAAGTATTATGTTGTGAAAGATAAAGTCCGAGATCATATAATTAGTCTTGAGCATATAAGAACAGAAAATATGCTCGCGGATCCGCTTACAAAAGGCTTATCACCCAGCATGTTCAAAGAACACTTAGCCGGCATGGGTTTAAGGGAAAGCCTATGATTCGTGGACAATAAGGGCCTAGTTGAGAATCTATTTCAAGACAGAGAGGTGCATTGTAGCTGTTCAATCTAATGGCAACTGACCATGACGATGATGCACGCTCTATGCACTGATCTGTGATGGAATGGGAATGGGAACAAGATAAAGTAAGCAAGTTGAGTTTAAGTCATAAGGTGAGATCAAGGAGAAGAAGGCAGCTGCCGCATGCGTTAGGGTTCGTCGAAGCTCTGGCAAACCCTAGCACCCATGGCGAGGCGGTTGTCAGCGGCGGGGGCGAGCACGACGAGGAGGACGGGTCGAGGAGCGGGAGGTGCTTGACGGCGAGGCAGTCGGCAGCTAGGAAGGAGGTGGGGGTGGGGGAGGAAGAGCGCCCACGAGAGATAGATGAAGGTCGCACGCTCCCCTGAGTGCGCGACCGGTCGCGCCTTAACGTCCTCCTTTACCTTGTACATACAATAAATAAACACCTAAAATATCGTTTCTCTCTTCTAGCTCAAGAAAGGCTGAAATGTTTCTCACTGATCTTCGTGTAAAAATTTGGCATAAATTTTACTAATTCTAACAAAAAAAATGATATCAACTGTCATGTCCAAACGTGCTCTAAATATCATTGGACATGGAAAAAGATCAAATGTGGCGAGCAGGTATGCAGCCTATTCGAAAGGCCGTATCGTATCGTGGATTATTTACTGCTGACTGGTTTGGTATGAGAGAAAAACACTGTTCCGACTAAAAATTTATGCAAGCGAACAGGCTGATGCCCCGCACACAAACGAAAATTTTTGTGTCTCGTACACCGGACAATATCCATATAGCTCCGTGGAATCCGAGCCCACACAATCGGGACCGCGCGTTCCAGATCCGACGGCCCGAAGCGAGACGACTACCGCCGCGGGGAGAAGCCGTGTGCGGCCGCAGCCCGCAGGAGGCTAATAATTGGCGGCTCGGGTTTCGCCCTCTTTCACCCATCACCGCGAAGAACACAAAACACAAGTAGGGTTAGGAAGGCGACGCGGCGGCGGCGGCGGGCGGCGAGAGCGTGAGGAGGAGGAGGGGTCGGCCATGACGGGGAAGGCGAAGCCGAAGAAGCACACGGCGAAGGAGATCGCCGCGAAGATCGCCGCGGCGACGACGAACCGTGGCGGCGGCAAGGCTGGGCAGGCGGACCGGCTGGGGCAGGACAAGGGCGGGCACGCGAAGCTGGCGTGCCCACTCTGCCGCGTCCCGGCGCCCGACATCAAGTCTATGCAGATCCACCATGAGGCGCGCCACCCCAAGCTTCCATTCGAGCCGGAGAAGCCTCAACCTGCACTCCTCCGCCCCGCCGCCGCCGCCGAGGCCACCACCTCAAGCCCAAGCCCGGCGTCCGCGGCAGCCTCAAGAAGTAGCTTGCTGGCTGGCTTGCCTGCCTACTTGGGGTAATTCCCTTCAATTTCAATCCCATCCACCGACCCGATCTATAAACAATCAAACTACCGACCTCTGGACTCCGGTCCGGTGGTGACTGCCGCAGTCGGCCTGCGGTGTACTGTTAGTCTGCTGCTGCTTTTCGTTGTCATACTGCTGGTACATGTGTTATGTGATAGATGTGTCAACTATATCTCGTCGCCGGCAACTCTGGCATGTTTAAGTATGTGTTGCTGCTCCGTGATGCCAGCGACGCCTGCTAGTAATGTTAATGTCGATCGGGTCTCCTTGAACAATGGCGGAAATCTGTTGCTTGTTTACTTTCTTTTAATGGCAAGTAAAGTTTATGAATTGGGAATTCTTTTGTTCGCTGTTTAATACTGTCAGCTGAGGGTTACGGGTTTCATTTTCATGAGGCGGATCTTATCTTGTCATAGGTATAAATAATTCGTATTGTTGGATGTGCTCGGCTAGCCCAAATCTTCACCTGCTTTGCTTATGCCTTGGACTAGCGAGGAGAGTTACCTTTGTTTACGACTGGACAATTGTTAGGCCTAGTTGTTATTGGTTTGTGACTAGAAATGAAAGGCAGTTGTCTAGTTTGAGTCATATGCAAATACTGGAGTTCGTTAGTGATTTCAGTTCCTCACCACATGGTTAAGTATATGTCTTGAGTTCATCGCTAGACTATGTTTAGTATTTTTGCATGGGTACTGGTTTCCTAGATCCCAACATCCAAAGTGCTGAAAGGCATTCATGAGAGATGAATAACGTAACGGATAACCAATTAACCATGCACTCCCTCCCTCCTTTTATATTTTGAGCTAACAGACATAAAAGGCGGGAGGGAGTATCTTTTGTTTAAAATGCTGGAGTAACGCCATATTAATGACAGTCTTCCTGAGACAGTTGGCTGCCTGGCTGGCTCGCTTGCCTGTTTGGGGTAATTCCCTTCGATTTCAATCCGATCCACCAACCTGATCTATAATGAATCAAACTACCGGCCTCCGGTCCAGTGGCGGCTGCTGCAGTCGGCCTGCGGTGTACTGTTAGTCTGCTGCTGCTTTTCGTTGTTATACTGTTGGTACATGTGTCATGTGATAGATGTGTCAACTATATATCAATCTCGTCGCCGGCAACTCTGGCATGTTTAACTATGTGTCGCTGCTCTGATGCCGGCGACGGCTGCTAGTACTGTTGATGTTGATCGGGTCTCCTTGAACAATGGTAGAAATCTTTTGCTTGTTTAGTTTCATCTATCTAATGGCAAGTAAAGTTAATGAATTGGGAATTCTTTTGTTCGTTGTTTAATACTGTCAGCTGAGAGTTAAGGGTTTCATTTTCATGATGCAGATCTTATCTTGTCATAGTAGGTATAAATAAATCGTATTGTTGGATAAGCTCGGCTAGCCCAAATCTTCAGCTGCTTTGCTTATGCCTTGGACGAGCGAGGAGGGTTGCCTTTGTTTACGACTGGACAATTGTTAGGGGCCTAGTTGTTAGGTTTATGTATTGTGACTAGAAATGAAAGGCATTTGTCTAGTTTGAGTCATATGCAAATGCTGGAGTTCGTTACTGATTTCAGTTCCTCTTCACATGGTTAAGTATATGTCTTGAGTTCGTTGCTAGACTAAGTTTACTATTTTTGCATGGGTACTAGTTTCCTAGATCCCAACTTCCAAAGTGCTGAAAGGCATTCATGAGAGATGAGTAACGTAATGGATAAGCAATTAACCATGTACTCCCACCCTCCTTTTATATTTTGAGCTAACCGCCGCTAACCGACATAAAAGGCGGGAGGGAGTATCTTTTGTTTAAAATGTTGGGGTGACGCCGTATTAATGACTATGCTAATTATTTGTTGTTGTCTTCCTGAGAGAATTGTTTGCTCACGAGTATAAGCAGCACTTCTGACAATATTGCATCACCAGACTGTCATTTGAAGTTGGATATGTCGTTTCAGTGATGTACAGATTTTAGGGTCTTCCAAGCCTCAAGCTTACAATTACCCCCTCAATGTAACTGAACATTTATTCATTTGCTTGGTAACTTTTGTGCTTCCGTGATTGATTACTTGTATACTACTTCATACCAGCAAGCATAACCTTCTGTAAAGTGAACCATTCAATTTTAGGTAATAATGCAATAGTATGGTTAGTGGTGTTTGAGGCTTTGGGGTATGACAGCACTTGCCATCTTTTTTCTTTTTGGATGGTGTTTGCTGCTGCCTGCTAGGCGTGTCCGGGACACATGGTTGAAGCAATTTAACTTATCCTTTTAAAGCGATGTACCGATTTAAGGTCTTCCTAGTCCCAAGCTTACAGTACCCTCTCAATGTAACAACATATTCATATGCTTGGTAACTTGACTGCTTACCGTGGTCAGGATTGCCTGTACTGTTACACTACTTCATACCAGCAAACATTTTGTAAAGCTGAACATTCAAAATTAGGTAACAGTACTATATATTATGATTAATGATGTTTGAAGCATTTTTTGGGGGGCGTTGGGGGGTAAGAGCACTTGCAATCTTTTATTTTGTTGGATTGGATGTCATGAATTTGTCACCAAATACTGTTTGTTGACTCGCGGTTGAAGTAATTTAAGTTACCCAGTTTTATTTGCTTTGAACGCTATACTTAAACTATGTTATTTGTTGAAAATCTGATACATGGCCTTTGGATCCAGCAACCAATCGTTCTAAAATATGATGCATGGTCTTTGGAGTATCATTTATCGTTGTTTTTTAGTGGTTCAATTCTGTCGTCACAGAACACTTGTTCACCTGCTTTGTCTATGCCCTTGGACTAGTTAGGAGAATTGCCTCTGTTTACAAATGGATAATTGATAGGCCTATCTGATCTTATGGTTTTTTTTTTGTACCTTCATCACCTTAAAAAACAAATCACCTTGTATTGTGTTTGTGTGCCACCATGCTTCTATTGCGACTAGAACTCTAGAAGTTTTTTTTTAGAGTTGCAGTCAATGGACATCTACAATACTTTGTTCATCTGGTGCAACTACATGTCTTGAATTTGCCGTTTAGCCAAACATTGCACAAGTAAGCCTAACATGATCCTTTGAATACAAAGCCCCACACGATGTTCTGAAGTGCATTCATAGGGAATATTCATTCATAGGAGACGAATACCGTATCCAGTGTATCTTTTGTTTAAGTTTGTTAGTATGCCATATATGCAGATAAATATGCGCCATGATGTGTAGTTTCGACTTCGCTTCGGATAATTGTTTGCTCAGAGTAAAGATTACTGCATTTGATATTATTGCATCACCAGAGTGGAAAATGTGTGAACATTTTATCCATGTTTAGTATCCTAACTCTGACCGGGCTGACCTGTCCTACACTAATTCGGTCCAAGTGTGCTGAAACTCGGGTGAATTTTGCCCATCTCGGCGGGCCCAAATTGAAACAACATTGAGACGACAAAAATATCTGTCAAATTTGAATTTTTATTGGAGCCTAATGCCCAAAGAAGCTTTTAAATCCCCCCTTGTTATAAAAGTGCAAGCCTATCAAATTGTAATCCGTTCAACGCCCGTCTTTACGCTCTATTTGATCCTTTCAGCCATAATCTACAAAATAAGATCCCACATGATTAGGTTCTAATGAAGAAAAAATGATTACATGTGGATCCTAAACGTTATACAAACAATTGTGACTATGTTATACAAACAATTGTGACAAGATTAGTTTTGGCTATCTCCGGATAAAGTTAACCTAATATTTTTTTTTTTTGCATCTGCCGATTAAATATGACTTACCAATTGCGGCACAAACAAAACATACCCCTATGAGACGACTAGACAACTTCACCCTAGCACAACCCGCAACCCACGGTCCCACACACCTCACAATATGTTGTCATATGTAAGGGATAACCTAGGGCGTTCTAGGTGCGTGTTGACGCTAAAAATCAACACAGGAGTCACCGATAACAAATCTAATCTAAATAAATATGTTATTTTACTTGTTTTCAGCTGGCAAAAGTTTAACCCTGTCACATCCATTCTTTGGATACCAATTAGGAGTATTAAACATAGACTAATTACAAAACTAATTACACAGATTGAGGCTAGTTTGCGAGACAAATCTATTAAGTCTAATTAGTTCATGATTTGATAATGCGGTGATCGTCCAGCACTGGCTGCACGCCGGAGAACGACCCCTTCTATGACCCGCTCAACGACTACGTTATACTCCCAACACTCTACGACATCGAGAAGCATTGTGAGAAACACGGGGATGTCACGTCAGTTACGGAGGACTGGGAGATCATCTCCCAGACCGACGGTAAGACCATGAGGCCAGGTGAGCTTCCTCCTATGGTCAGTACACTGACCACAAGTCGGGAGGGCAAGGAGGGCGCACTGGAAGAGGCGCAGGCCACCGTGGTCGTTCACCCGGAGAAAGAAGGGCGGCAGCATGTGGAAGTTAGGGGCTGTGGGTGTCAGCCATGGTGGCTAAGCCGGAGGAACCACGTTGGTTGTCTATCTAGCAGCTAAAACCTCTGGGCACGCACTGTAAAATTGGATGTACATATGGTTGTGACCTCTCTAGGAAATCTGTGTTTAGAACTATATAAATGTTCACGCTGGTTGTAAAAAAGTTCAGAACAGAGCAAAAAAAGATTAAACGCTGGGGTTCAAACCCAGGCCTTTGAGCTAAGTCACGTGCGTCTTAACCAGCTAAACCGCAATGACGTTTTTACATGTTTCTCGGAACAATTATACTTGTTTTATTTCAAACACCAAGATCTATAGGGTAACAGCTCGGCACCAAGATCTACGGCGCCGAGCTCAGCGCCAGGTCAACCGCCACGTCCGACGCCTCACCAAGACCTCGGCGCCATTGGCCATGGCGCCGAGATGTGTTTCCTCGGCGTCAAATGCCATGGCGTCGAGGTCAGGGTCCATAAATAAAAATCAAATCACCACGGTCTATTTGTGAATATTTTTTTAAAAGAAGGCTGAAAAATAAAAAATTCTGTCGGCGT